CGTTTATCCCGGTATTAACAACTTCTTTTGCTTTTCTCTGCTAGTACATTTATAGAGTAACAATGCAAACATACAAGAAATGTGTTACCAGTTTTTAGGGTTCTCTGTCACCACTTTTGTACTCTTTCCAATTAATATTCAAGGTGAGCCGTACCTCATTGTATGTTCCCTGATTTTGCAATTATCCGTCCTTGGATATTGAACTAAAATAAATAAACTAAAATAAATTTTAAAAAAACCAAACTGACAGCAAAAAGCATGAAGAATGTAGTTAAGTTTACAATTTATTAGCCAAATGCTGTAACTGAGTAAAGTAAGTAACAAAAGTAGAGGGATCAAATCCCAAGCAAAGTACTTAAATGATCATTACTATAAATTGAGAGGATATTTATGTTGCCAGGTCAGTAACAGAAGTGCCATCTGGTGAGCTTTAAGATGTAGTACATGATTAAAATGGAGCTGAATTTAAAAATTGGCACCACAATTTTTCTAGAGAATATTATTCATTATATCTAGGGCATGTATCTACATGGTTCTTCAAGGACAATGTAAAAGGTATATCAAGAATTTTCAAGTAATAAAAGTGATATATTTGGTGCTGCATATTTTCAAAAGAAATGTCTTTAACGTATTTCTGTTATCATTCATCAGCAAAATGAATAATTTATTCCATGTCTCTCTCTGAGTTTCAGAGCTTGAAAATCAGGTGCTACACTGTAGTGTGTGCTTTTGCAAGGTTGAGAGCTTTATGAATACCGTGCATCTTGTCGATAATACGCACTGCTGCGACTGAGCATCAGTGGTGGAGTAACTGAATGACTGTGGATATGGTACCAATCAACTAAGCTGCATTGTCCTGGATGGAGTCAAGATTCTTTACTGTTGCTGGAACGGCACTCATCCAGGCAAGGGTAGAGTATTCCATCACACTCCTGACTTCTGTCTTGTAGATGGTAGACAGACTTTGGGAAGTCAGGAAGTAGGTTACTTGCTGTAGTATTCTCAGACTCTTACTTGCTGTTGTAGCCACTGTATTTATATGGTGAGTCCAATTCAGTTTCTGGTCAATGGTTACCACCAGGATGTTGATAGTGGCGGACTCAGTGATGGTAACATTGTTGAATATCAAGGGGCAGGGGTTAGATTGTCTCTTATTGGAGATGGTTGTAGCCTGGCATTTGTGTGGCATGAATATTTCTTACCACTTGTCAGCCCAAGCCTGGATATTATCCGGATCTTGTTGCATTTGAACATGAGGCTTCAGTATCTGAGGACTCGCAAATGGCACTGAACATTGTGCCATCACTGGCGAACATCCCCACTTCTGACCTTATGATGGAGGGAATGTCATTGAAGCAGCTGAAGATGGTTGAACCTAGGACACAACCCTGAGGAACTTCTGCAGTGATGTCCTGGAGCTGAGATGACTGACCTCCAACAACCACAACCACCTTTCTTCGCGTCAGGTATGACTCTAACCAGCAGAAAGTTTTCCCCCTGATTCCCATTAACTCCAGTTTTCTCAGGCTTCATGATCTTTTAGAATTCCTTCTAGTGTTCATTTAGAGGATCTTTTTAGAGTTCTTTTGCTCTTGTACATTCAAGGCTATAGCTAAGAAGTAATGAAGTATAATTACATTGCTCTGTTTATTCTATAGGTGACTGACAATTGGGAAATGTGTAAAGAAACAAATTTGGAATTAGGAAATTGTAGATGTTATAGAGTAGCAATAATGGGATCTGTAAATTATTGTAATATATATGGGGATATTAGTCAGGTAAAGGACACCCATTCCTGGGGTATGTTCAGTAGAATCCTTTGCATCAGTATGTTTCCAGTCCAACGGGAGACAAGACTGGACCTAGTTCTTGGGATTGAGGTTTGCCAAGTGGATTAATGTCAGCAGGGAACCACTCAGGGGACAATGATTAATATATCATAATGTTTAGGGCAGAAGCTAACAAGAGTATAATGAGGAACAAATAAATGGCAGAAGAATTAAACACATACTTTGGTTCTGTCTTTGTAAATGAGGGCACAAATAACTTCCCAGAAATGTTAGGGAACCAAGGGTCTAGTGACAGAGTGGAATTGAAGGAAATCAGTATTAATAAGAAAATGATGCAGGGAAAATTAATGGATTTAAAGGCTGACAAATCACCAGGGCCTGGTGATATACATCCCACAGTACTAAGGGAAATGGCCCTGGAAATATCAGATGCATTGATGATTATCTTCCAAAATCCTACAGATTCTAGAGCAATTCCTACAGATTGGAAGATGGCAAAAATAACCCCATCATTTAAAAAAGGAGGGAGAGAAAACATAGGATTATGGACCAGTTTGTCTAACACCAATAGTGGGGAAAATCCTAGAGTCTGTTATAAAAAATGTGATAACAGAACTTTTATGGAAATTATGAAAGGGTTTATAAAAGGCAAATCATGCTTAACAAATCAACTGGACTTTTTAAAGGACATAACAAGTAGAATAGCTCAGGAAGAACCAGTGGATGTGGTGTATTTGGAGTTTCAGAAGCCTTTTGATAAGGTCCTTCATAAAAGGTTAGTGGGCAAAGTTAAAGCACATGGGATTGGGGGTAATATATTGGCATGGTTCAAGAATTGGTAACAAAAAGTGGGAATAAATGGAGCATTTTCAGAGTGGCAGGCAGAGATTAGTGGGGTACTGCAAGGATCTGTGCTTGGGCCCAGCTATTCACAATACATATAAACAACATGGATGACAGAACCAAATGCAACATTTCCAAGTTTGCTGATGACACAAAGCTGGACGGGATACTAAGTGATGCAGAGGGTGCAAGGAAGCATCTAGGTGACTTAAACAAGTGTGTGGACAAACACATGGCAGGTTTAGCACAATGTGGCTAAATGTGAAATTAAATATTTCCGTGAGAAAAATAGAAAAAAATTATTTAAACGGTGATACATCAAGTGTGGATGAACATGAGATGCAGTTCTGGTCACCCTGTCTAAGAAAGGATATATGTGCCATAGAGAGAATTCAGTGAAGGTTAAGTAGGCTGATACCAGAGATGGCAGGACTGCTCAATGAGGAGAGATTGATTTGACTGGACTTGTATTCACTAGACTTTTGAAGAATGAGAGAAGACCTGATAAAAACATATACAATTCTAACAGGGCTGAACAGATTGGATACAGGGTGGATGTGGTCCCCAGTTGGGGAGTCTAGAAGCAGGTGGCAAAGACTTAGGATATGGGGTAGACCATTTAGGATTGAGATGAAGAAAGATTTCTTCACTCAAAGGAAGCTGAACCTGTGAAATTCTCTACCACAGAAGGCTGTGGAGACATAGTCACTGAATATATTGAAGAAAAAGATTGATAATTTTTTTAGATATTAAAGGTGGCAAGTGCTGTCGGGGGGAAGCGGGAATATGATATTGTATAGAGGATCAGCCATGATCATACTTAATGGCAGAGCAGACTCAAAGGACTAAATGGCCTACTCCCTCTCTTTGTTTCGATGTTTAGATTAGGAATGGTGTAGGTCAAGCATCAATCAGAGCATAATTAATTGGGAAAGGGGAAACTTGAATAGGGAGAGAACAGATTTAGCCAAATAAACAGGAATCAAAGAGTGGCAGACAAAACTGTAACTGAGCAATGGACCGAGTTTTAGCGGCTGCTAGTTTAGATACAACCAAACTGCATTTCCACAGGGAAGTTGCTAGAATAGGTGGACAAGCTGCAGATGAAATTTATTGCAGAGAAGTGTGAAGTCATTAAGCTTGGTAAGAGGAACAGGGACCGGCAATATAATCTAAAGGATACAATTCTAAAGAGGGTGCGGGAGCAAAGAGATCTGATTACCACAAATCATTGAATGGATGATTGAGAGAATGAGTAAAATGGCATATAGAATCCTGGGCTTTATAAATAGAGGCAGACTATATAAAAACAAAAAAGTTATGATAAAGATAACACAGTG